TTATATATGTTAAATTTATATTTATATATTACAGAGCCTAGTTAAACTCTTAATTTATACACGCTGGCTTAAAGGCGTTTATTTACCAACATTAATATATATAACAGAGAAAAGTATAGAATCGAAAGGATCTGAATAGCTCAGCTGGAAGAGCAGTCGCCCGGCAAGCGAAAGGTCTCGGGTTCGATTCCCGATTCTGCGACTTTCGGATCTATATTTTTCTCTCGCACTTTATTTCTTTCGGGGGAATAGGGGATACATGGAATTAAAAATCTCTTGTAGAGATTATTCCAATTTTATATCTTGGCCGTGTCCAAGTAAAAATTTGGTGCCTTGTGCACAGGTATTTAATTCTAACGAAAAAATTTAGTTTCGTTTAGAATAACGCACTGTTATCCGCGATTTGGCTCTTATTGCCTATCTTATATATGTTAAATTTATATTTATATATTACAGAGCCTAGTTAAACTCTTAATTTATACACGCTGGCTTAAAGGCGTTTATTTACCAACATTAATATATATAACAGAGAAAAGTATAGAATCGAAAGGATCTGAATAGCTCAGCTGGAAGAGCAGTCGCCCGGCAAGCGAAAGGTCTCGGGTTCGATTCCCGATTCTGCGACTTTCGGATCTATATTTTTCTCTCGCACTTTATTTCTTTCGGGGGAATAGGGGATACATGGAATTAAAAATCTCTTGTAGAGATTATTCCAATTTTATATCTTGGCCGTGTCCAAGTAAAAATTTGGTGCCTTGTGCACAGGTATTTAATTCTAACGAAAAAATTTAGTTTCGTTTAGAATAACGCACTGTTATCCGCGATTTGGCTCTTATTGCCTATCTTATATATGTTAAATTTATATTTATATATTACAGAGCCTAGTTAAACTCTTAATTTATACACGCTGGCTTAAAGGCGTTTATTTACCAACATTAATATATATAACAGAGAAAAGTATAGAATCGAAAGGATCTGAATAGCTCAGCTGGAAGAGCAGTCGCCCGGCAAGCGAAAGGTCTCGGGTTCGATTCCCGATTCTGCGACTTTCGGATCTATATTTTTCTCTCGCACTTTATTTCTTTCGGGGGAATAGGGGATACATGGAATTAAAAATCTCTTGTAGAGATTATTCCAATTTTATATCTTGGCCGTGTCCAAGTAAAAATTTGGTGCCTTGTGCACAGGTATTTAATTCTAACGAAAAAATTTAGTTTCGTTTAGAATAACGCACTGTTATCCGCGATTTGGCTCTTATTGCCTATCTTATATATGTTAAATTTATATTTATATATTACAGAGCCTAGTTAAACTCTTAATTTATACACGCTGGCTTAAAGGCGTTTATTTACCAACATTAATATATATAACAGAGAAAAGTATAGAATCGAAAGGATCTGAATAGCTCAGCTGGAAGAGCAGTCGCCCGGCAAGCGAAAGGTCTCGGGTTCGATTCCCGATTCTGCGACTTTCGGATCTATATTTTTCTCTCGCACTTTATTTCTTTCGGGGGAATAGGGGATACATGGAATTAAAAATCTCTTGTAGAGATTATTCCAATTTTATATCTTGGCCGTGTCCAAGTAAAAATTTGGTGCCTTGTGCACAGGTATTTAATTCTAACGAAAAAATTTAGTTTCGTTTAGAATAACGCACTGTTATCCGCGATTTGGCTCTTATTGCCTATCTTATATATGTTAAATTTATATTTATATATTACAGAGCCTAGTTAAACTCTTAATTTATACACGCTGGCTTAAAGGCGTTTATTTACCAACATTAATATATATAACAGAGAAAAGTATAGAATCGAAAGGATCTGAATAGCTCAGCTGGAAGAGCAGTCGCCCGGCAAGCGAAAGGTCTCGGGTTCGATTCCCGATTCTGCGACTTTCGGATCTATATTTTTCTCTCGCACTTTATTTCTTTCGGGGGAATAGGGGATACATGGAATTAAAAATCTCTTGTAGAGATTATTCCAATTTTATATCTTGGCCGTGTCCAAGTAAAAATTTGGTGCCTTGTGCACAGGTATTTAATTCTAACGAAAAAATTTAGTTTCGTTTAGAATAACGCACTGTTATCCGCGATTTGGCTCTTATTGCCTATCTTATATATGTTAAATTTATATTTATATATTACAGAGCCTAGTTAAACTCTTAATTTATACACGCTGGCTTAAAGGCGTTTATTTACCAACATTAATATATATAACAGAGAAAAGTATAGAATCGAAAGGATCTGAATAGCTCAGCTGGAAGAGCAGTCGCCCGGCAAGCGAAAGGTCTCGGGTTCGATTCCCGATTCTGCGACTTTCGGATCTATATTTTTCTCTCGCACTTTATTTCTTTCGGGGGAATAGGGGATACATGGAATTAAAAATCTCTTGTAGAGATTATTCCAATTTTATATCTTGGCCGTGTCCAAGTAAAAATTTGGTGCCTTGTGCACAGGTATTTAATTCTAACGAAAAAATTTAGTTTCGTTTAGAATAACGCACTGTTATCCGCGATTTGGCTCTTATTGCCTATCTTATATATGTTAAATTTATATTTATATATTACAGAGCCTAGTTAAACTCTTAATTTATACACGCTGGCTTAAAGGCGTTTATTTACCAACATTAATATATATAACAGAGAAAAGTATAGAATCGAAAGGATCTGAATAGCTCAGCTGGAAGAGCAGTCGCCCGGCAAGCGAAAGGTCTCGGGTTCGATTCCCGATTCTGCGACTTTCGGATCTATATTTTTCTCTCGCACTTTATTTCTTTCGGGGGAATAGGGGATACATGGAATTAAAAATCTCTTGTAGAGATTATTCCAATTTTATATCTTGGCCGTGTCCAAGTAAAAATTTGGTGCCTTGTGCACAGGTATTTAATTCTAACGAAAAAATTTAGTTTCGTTTAGAATAACGCACTGTTATCCGCGATTTGGCTCTTATTGCCTATCTTATATATGTTAAATTTATATTTATATATTACAGAGCCTAGTTAAACTCTTAATTTATACACGCTGGCTTAAAGGCGTTTATTTACCAACATTAATATATATAACAGAGAAAAGTATAGAATCGAAAGGATCTGAATAGCTCAGCTGGAAGAGCAGTCGCCCGGCAAGCGAAAGGTCTCGGGTTCGATTCCCGATTCTGCGACTTTCGGATCTATATTTTTCTCTCGCACTTTATTTCTTTCGGGGGAATAGGGGATACATGGAATTAAAAATCTCTTGTAGAGATTATTCCAATTTTATATCTTGGCCGTGTCCAAGTAAAAATTTGGTGCCTTGTGCACAGGTATTTAATTCTAACGAAAAAATTTAGTTTCGTTTAGAATAACGCACTGTTATCCGCGATTTGGCTCTTATTGCCTATCTTATATATGTTAAATTTATATTTATATATTACAGAGCCTAGTTAAACTCTTAATTTATACACGCTGGCTTAAAGGCGTTTATTTACCAACATTAATATATATAACAGAGAAAAGTATAGAATCGAAAGGATCTGAATAGCTCAGCTGGAAGAGCAGTCGCCCGGCAAGCGAAAGGTCTCGGGTTCGATTCCCGATTCTGCGACTTTCGGATCTATATTTTTCTCTCGCACTTTATTTCTTTCGGGGGAATAGGGGATACATGGAATTAAAAATCTCTTGTAGAGATTATTCCAATTTTATATCTTGGCCGTGTCCAAGTAAAAATTTGGTGCCTTGTGCACAGGTATTTAATTCTAACGAAAAAATTTAGTTTCGTTTAGAATAACGCACTGTTATCCGCGATTTGGCTCTTATTGCCTATCTTATATATGTTAAATTTATATTTATATATTACAGAGCCTAGTTAAACTCTTAATTTATACACGCTGGCTTAAAGGCGTTTATTTACCAACATTAATATATATAACAGAGAAAAGTATAGAATCGAAAGGATCTGAATAGCTCAGCTGGAAGAGCAGTCGCCCGGCAAGCGAAAGGTCTCGGGTTCGATTCCCGATTCTGCGACTTTCGGATCTATATTTTTCTCTCGCACTTTATTTCTTTCGGGGGAATAGGGGATACATGGAATTAAAAATCTCTTGTAGAGATTATTCCAATTTTATATCTTGGCCGTGTCCAAGTAAAAATTTGGTGCCTTGTGCACAGGTATTTAATTCTAACGAAAAAATTTAGTTTCGTTTAGAATAACGCACTGTTATCCGCGATTTGGCTCTTATTGCCTATCTTATATATGTTAAATTTATATTTATATATTACAGAGCCTAGTTAAACTCTTAATTTATACACGCTGGCTTAAAGGCGTTTATTTACCAACATTAATATATATAACAGAGAAAAGTATAGAATCGAAAGGATCTGAATAGCTCAGCTGGAAGAGCAGTCGCCCGGCAAGCGAAAGATCTCGGGTTCGATTCCCGATTCTGCGACTTTCGGATCTATATTTTTCTCTCGCACTTTATTTCTTTCGGGGGAATAGGGGATACATGGAATTAAAAATCTCTTGTAGAGATTATTCCAATTTTATATCTTGGCCGTGTCCAAGTAAAAATTTGGTGCCTTGTGCACAGGTATTTAATTCTAACGAAAAAATTTAGTTTCGTTTAGAATAACGCACTGTTATCCGCGATTTGGCTCTTATTGCCTATCTTATATATGTTAAATTTATATTTATATATTACAGAGCCTAGTTAAACTCTTAATTTATAAATAAAATATTTTTGCTCGGAATAGTTTAATTATTCCGAGCGCGCGCAAATATATATATATATATACATATGTATAGTTTTTTATTTAAAATCTGGATATACTTTTTATACCGTATGCATATATAATATAAATTATATTTTTTGTTTCCTGAAAAATAAGAATTATGAAATAATATTATTTCCAAAGTAATTATAATTATATTCCCGCGAAAATATATCGCTCTTTCTCTCGAAATAGCAGATTACTCGGACGCAAGCCGCAAATTCACGGGTGTCCCCGTTTGAAATCTGATTCACAGGAGGTGTACTGCGGCCGCGAGACTATCTGCACGGTGGACGGGCTGCACTTCAATTCGCTCTATAACGCCAGGGTGCGGGCCTTTAACAGCGCCGGCGAGGGCGAGTACTCGGAACTGATCGGCCTTCAGACCGCGGAGGGTGAGTTTCTCCATCCCCCTTCGTTTCTTTTTTTTTTTTTTTTTTTTTTTTTTTTCACGGTTTCCTGAACCGAGCGCGCGGAGGCCTCGATCGGAAAACCGGCGTCGGTGTCGCGTGGAAGACGAACGGTCGTAAGCGACGTCGATTTTCCAACCGCGCGTGTTCCTCTCATTTTTTTTTCCGCGGCACGATCGCGTGATCGATGAGATGGACGGTAGACGCACACAGAAACGACCATCGACCATGTGGCGTTTGCGGAATAATGCGGCCGACAATTACAAATGACTTCCATTTTTATTTTCGCGTGCGACTCACGATGTCGCGTTCTCGAGAAATTTCGTTTGATTTTATTATTGAGTCTATTACATAAATGGTTCAGTGTTTAAACATTGCACAAAATTAGATATGCTATTATCTTTCAATTCAAATTTTTCTGTATTATATTTTTTTTAATAATTTTATATAAAACTGGATCAGTTTTCGCGCTGATTATATCTACAGCGTATTCTTCGAAATAATAAATTAATATATATAATGAGGTAGAGGAAAAGAAATTGATCTTTTTCATATAAAACCGGATCGGTTTTCATGTTGATTTATATACCTGTAGCATAAATTTGTCGAAATGATAAATGAATATATAACGAGAGGAGAAGGTACTGATCTGAATGAGAATCAAATATTAAGTTTCGACAATCTCACGCGTCGATAACAAATTCTATATAAAAGAATCTGAAATGATTGAACGTACCTTTCCTTTCGCAACCGCGTCACGTCGACCTTCGACGTATCAAAATCTTAAATTATTTAGTGGCGCGAAAAATCCGGCTTCCCTTCCTCCTCGTCTCCCATTAAGATTCCATAATCCCGTCACGTCGTTATTAACATCGAGTGCGCGAGCGACGATGTCGAATTCCCAATAACCCCGGGCGCTTCGATACCCGGGCGCGCTCGTAACGCCGAGCGTGCAGTTCGTTAAGCACGCTTGCGGATCCGTATCCGCGGAATATTAATCGGAGCTACATCTCCCTCTATCTGTCTGGTCCCTCGCAGTGGCGTGGTTTTCGTGGGCCACCGGAGCGGCCGGCATACCACAGGAGGTGTCCATATCGGAGGACGCGATGAGCGCGTCCTGCGAGGGCTACGAGCACCGCGTCGTTCTCTCGAGTGTCGGCTTCTCGCGAGGCGTCCACTACTGGGAGCTGACTATCGATCGATATCACAGTGACACCGATCCGGCCTTCGGTATCGCTCGGGCCGACGTGTCGCGCGATCAGATGCTAGGTAAGTCAACGTGTGTGTGTGTGTGTGTCTTCCTTCTTTTCTGGAAAAGGAAGATCGTACGGTTTATCCAGGGTCGATGAAATATTCATGCACCACCCCGGACATCCCTGATTTGTTCGGAAATTCGGAAGCGAGAGACGTATGTACCTTGTTTTCCTTGTATTTTTTTTTCCTCTCTGTCTTTTCTCTTTCTCTTCTTTTATCTCTTGCGTGTCGCGCTCTGGATGAAGGTGGAACGACGGCCAAGAGATTTCGATCGAGATCGCGCGGTTTGTGCAGCATACTAAAAGAAAAGGATACTTTAATCCTTGGACACGTGGAACCAGGTCAATGCTCTTAGCGATGATGGAAACCGGAGGATCGCGTGTAGTCTATTAAATTTGACGGAAATGTATATGGGATAGGAACAATGTCTCCTGCGATTTTTCTAAAATTTCCTCCGCATTAACGATGTAAAATCGATAATAATAATTTGCTTCATCCGATCCAATTATTTCAAACGAGTAAAAAAGTGTAAATATATTTATGTATATAAAATATTATTATTGATATATATTATTATATAAAATTTAAATATTCTCAAAGCATCGTATTTATACTGCTCACAATGCGAGAGAAATAATTTATTTTCAACCGATTACGCAGTCTTTAACGAGGAAATATTTACAATATTTATTTCTGATTCTGTAAAACCATCCATATTTCACAGAATTTCATTACAGAGAATTTGGATTAACATACAGATGTGAATATTGATTATGATTATTATTTCATATATCAACACATTTATAATCCAGTAGGAGAAAAATAATTTATTACGTAAATATGTTTAATTTTCATCGGAAATGTATTCTCCCGCACATTCTCGATCCATAATCTTTGCTCCTAACAGTCTGACATTTATTCTGCACAGTTGAAAAATTTGTGTTAAATTTAACAAATATCTCACATGTCCGAAACGGTCTACAGAAATTTTTTAATTTATCTATAATATATGGATATATTAAATGGAGATATAAATATTATGTTAATATTTAAATACAAAATAAGTGCAAAATTTCAAGTAATTTAAAACACATTTTCCGTAAAATCAACATAGAGTTTTAATGTAAAAATTAACTAAAAATATATTAATTTTAGATTTTATCATTTCCATTTACATCGTAAAATAAAGAATCAACATTTTTTGTGAAAATTTTAACAGATAAATATTGTTCTTGTCACTAATAAAACAGAACATATTTATTTTGTAAAACTAAAAAAAGACACACATTATGTCAACTTTTCCATCTTTTTCAGTTGTTTTACTAATTCAACATTTAAAAATTTAATTAACACAATATGAATGTATTAAATATTTGACAGAAACAATTCTAACGAGGTTTTTAACAAGAAAACACAAATTGTGCACGCTATTAATAATGCAACTCGAACTTGTTCCGAAGCTGGAGCTCGCGCGAAATTTGGCGAATCGTCTTGTTCGCAGGTAAGGACGACAAGGGCTGGAGCATGTACATAGATCGGCAACGGTCGTGGTTCATGCACGGAGGCGGTCACGCACAGCGCACCGAGGGTGGCGTCCAGCAGGGTTCGACCGTCGGCGTCCTCCTCGACCTTGACACCACGCACACCCTGCGCTTCTTCGTCAACGATCAGCCGCAGGGCGGTGTCGCCTTCCGCGACCTCTACGGCGTCTTCTATCCGGCGATAAGCCTTAATCGCGGCGTCACCGTCACTCTCCACACCGCTCTGGACGTGCCGCGTCATCTGCTCGCGCTCCACGAGGAGTACGTCAGCGATATGGTTCAGAGCTAGGGGTATCTCAACGTCCTGAAGAAAGGCCTGCCGCAGGAGATCGGCTCGCCCTTAGGCTCGATCGTCTGCACCGGCGACAGGTGCAGGGACTTCGAATCGGGCCAGCTGCTGGAGAAGATCGTCGAGGAGAGCCCGGTCGACGTTAATTGATGAAGCGGATAGAAGCTCATGAATGCCTAATGTGTGAAAGAAAAATCGTACTCGTAAGTAGTCTCGGTTTTCTATCATCTATCGCTCTCGGTTCGATGCACTCGAAATCGCTCCGAGATATATCGTCTCCGCGACGTCGACGTGGACCATGATGACTCTTTTTTTTTCGCCGAAATTGCGCGGCGAAAATCATGCGAGACTGCGGTTTGATTTTCTCGAGGACTCGGGACACACGCGATATTCCCTCCGAATACTTTGCGATACTTTTGCAATTATTCGAAAATGTATTTTGCGAGTACAGCGAGTACATTTTATGTCATATCCGATTTATTAGAAGTAAGGGTTTTTGATCTTTTATGTGTATGATTCAGAAATGTATATTGTCTCTGAGGAGCGTTAATCCGAGTGAAATTCGGATCCTCGCTTCTTGCCTGAATAAACGGGATCCACGAGAAATGACAATTCAACAGGTTTATATAGAAACTTTGGCGAGGAAATTTCGACGAAAGGGACGTACACCGTGAAACTTTTCGGATCCGGCTTGTTCGAAAAATTGAAACTTAGAATCGAAATTCCAGTTGAAATCGAGATTACATTTTCCCATCCTATATAAAGATAATTATCTTAACCGTAATTGATTAGTCTTTCTTTCCTCAGTTCGCTCAAAAGCTCAATGCTCGCGCTCTTTTAGCATCAAAAGTAAGTTCTCGATCTGAATTCCGTGCCGATTTTACAATTCAATTTTTTCTTTGTAAAATGAAATTATTTATAAGAGATATAAAATTTTATAAAAATGTTCTTTTGCGTTATACGATGATCACGCGAGGTTTTCACCTCGAAAGAACGATGAGTTCCTCGAGAGGGATTAGCAAGATGATTCGACGCTGTATGAAGGTATAGGTGATGAAAGAGTTGATTACACGATCGATAAAAACTGCGACGAGCGAACATTGAGCGATCGTCGAGTTTCTTTACCGGTTACTTGATGCAAACTGCGGAGAAGACTACTCGACGTCCTTCTCGATGCCTTCTGTCGGCCCTTCGAGATACTCTTCGCGCACCCCAAAGTCTCGACTTTACTCCCCGAAGTAAGAAGTTCCAAGAGAATCGTCGCGTTTCGAGAGACGAGTGATACTCACGTTTCTTCCTCCATCGGCGAATTTCGCAAAGAGAGTTTCCTTTCACTTATTCGGGGTGTCTCTTCGGTTCTCTCGACGCGATCTCTCGAACCCGACCGATTGATCGCTTCTACTCAAACACGGCCCTCGACAAAGTTTACCGGCGACGATACTTGGCTATTTGCTAATGGACGTTTCCTTGCTACCAAGGGTCAATTCTTGCAGTTTCCGGTTAAGTATCAGGTAATTTCTCCGACCAATACATACCTTCCTAGATTGTAGGGTCGGAGAGTCAACGAGTTAGGTGATCGATCGCAGAAGTGCGTCGTCGAGTTCTCGTCGAGGTTACTTCCGACTCGAACGTGAAATGTATTCGGGAAACGTATAGGAAAAATATTTTCTTCGCTTCGCTTTTATACATATAGCGCGCGATATAAATAGAAAGTGTACTGATCTTCGAGCTGGGAGCTTCATCTCGGTTCTCTCAATTTCCTGACGAGAGATGTTATTTATAGATTGCGTGACGTGTGCGCAAATTACCTCATTAAGTCTGGAAAACAAAGTTTCTCACTCTCTGTGATTTTAGAGTGATTTTATACCGCGTCTTGTATATTTTAAATATCCGCGTGTCGATTGAAATATCATCCCGATAGTCGCTGGTTTAGCGCGATTATTGATCGCACGAACGAAACCAGGAGTTTCGAGTCTAAGTTTCAGTTTCTCGAACAAGCCGGATCCAAAAAGCTTCACGGTATGCGTTCTCCCTCGCCGAAATCTCGCCAAAGTTTCTATAAACCTGTTGAATTGTCATTTCTCGCGGAGCCCCCGTTTATATTCAGACAAGAGTGGCGCGAGACGAATTTCCTAGGGAATTCCCAAGGAATACGGTTCCTCGTCCTGTTCGCGCGATCGATACACAAAAAGATCGCTCGATCGCAGCACCCATTATCCATATCGAACGCACACAAGTATAAGTATAATCGCGTTTTGTAGGCGTTAAGCTCCACTAAAAGCGTAAATAGATAGGTAAGGCGTTAATAAAGCACAATGCTGCCGCGGCTTTAGTGTACAATAACATACGAATCGAGTATACGTTTTCTAGTCTTCGATAGAAAGACCCCACTTTGATCGACATTTCTCTCCCTTCTGTTTGTTCACCCTTATTCCGTCGTCCTTCCTCCAATTCGTCTCCAATTTCGCGCTGGTCCTTTTTTTACGACTTTGTATCTCATCGACGGTCAGAAGCACTGAACGCGCTCGATTTTCTCGTTATATCCCCGATGTAACGATAACCCGGAAGCGATTATTCCGCGCCGGGCATTGCGTTCGCTGCTGCGCGCGCGCCTATTGGCGCCATGTGTACATAAGTGTATATATTATATATGACTATATCGATTGTACCGCCGATTGAATTTGCCGATTGTACCATTTACGACTATATCGGATCAATAAAACGCAACGAAAACGCCCGCACGACGTGCAATACTTGGGTGATCCCTCGATTCTCCCCATCCGACTTCCTCGTTTCCCTCTCGTGGTGAATTAAGATGAAAGTCCCCTATATGAGAAATATTATGCAGGAGAGAGATTTGCTCGAACAGCATTATGCATATTATTTCTCTTTCAACGTAATATATTATTAATACTGATGAAATAATAACACACTTTCGATAACTTCATATACAATTATAATATATAATTAAGATATCGACTTTTTTTTCTAAAACAAAAAATCAAGCTTGAAGTTTTGGGATTTCGAGGAAGATGGATCGAGAGATCCCGCGCGATGATGTCCATAATTCATCGCGCTGGTCTTCTGCCGCTTTTCCCCTTCTTTTCCTCCCGTTTTTCGCTCATTTGATCCGAAACTTTCGCAACATCTCTTCAGGAAGTTCTCCCGCCGTTGCGCAAATTGCGACGAGTGGCCGAACGGCGGAGGAAAAGACCGGCGGAGAGTCCGTAGGGGATGGAGAGAAAAAAAAGAAGAAGCAAGGGACGACGAGTGGTACGAGGAAGAAAAAGAGGGAGAAAGAGAGCCTTGTATGCCCCGGAGAGAGTACCAACGTGGTCTGGGCGGGCCTCTTTAACGAATGCAATTAGCCGTCGCGGCTGCGGCTACGGGATCATTTTTCCCCTTCGGGCGTTATTTTATATCGCCCTCGCCGTAAGTTCGTTCAAGCACGGCGCTTGATTCGATTCGGAGATTGGAGGAAGGACGTTGCGCGTTCGCGCTTAGGGCTAATCGATTTTCGCCTTTTTTTATTTTATTTTTTGCTCGTCGTTTCGTCGATACAAGCTGCAACGCTGTCACACGACGGCATTACCTCTTTTTCTATCGCCAATGGCGCTTTTCTGTTTGAATGAAGTCGGAAATGTCCCGACATTTTATCGTGATGTCCTATATAATGAAGTATTCGAAAAGCGCTTGAATGTACGGAAAAGTTGGAGTAAAATGCAATTCGGAGTTTTTTTAAGCACTTTATATATAATCGTATAAAGATTATTGTTTGAGATGCGATATAAGACAATTTTTCCAGTTTTTTTTTTGTACATATTATATGTATATATACTATTATTATTTTCTAAAATTACACTACAATTCACAATGTCAGAAGGTATGTCAGAAAAAATAATTTCTTGCTTACCTTTTTTGCGCACTCGTATAATCTTCAGAAAAGCAGTAATATAAGAAGAAGGTAAAGTATCACACCAGTTTACGACGCGCAAAAAACATTATAAAAGTTGTTCAATGCCTCTCTGGGAAGTTCTTGTCCCCCACAAATTACAGCCGGCGGTGCTATTGGGAAGAAAGATGGTCGTGGGTGTAACTCGGATTAGAGGAAAGAAAAAGAAGCATTGAGTGTCGCGAGCGAAAGAGGCGCTTCGAGAATATTGTTACTATTAGGATCGTCTGTTCCCGAGAGAGAAGGGTTTGATAAAAACGAGCCGGTACTTTACGCGAACGTGATTAGCAGTTAATCCTTTGTACATCGTTATTCGACGGTCCATCTGTGCGTGCAGACTATTTCGCAAGGAACAAAGTTCGGGAGCATAATTCTTGGCAAAGTATATACGAGATTTTCTTCGCGAAAATTTTAACCAGGCAATCTGTGCATTAAGATGGAATTATGTAACTTTAAAAATTATATAAAATGATATAGTAAATTAAAGGTTGTGAGCAAAGAGATTATTAATGAGTGACGGAGAACTTGCGAGATTTACTTTAAGTTAATTTCAAATATATTTTATTTTTAAAGAAATTTAAAAAGTTTTTTTTTTTTTTTCAAGTAATTCTGAAGAGAGAGATACTTAAAATTGTATTGAAAATTTTCACAAGTTACGCGAAAGATTGCATCCGATCGATTTTTTTTCCCCAAAAGAAAACCCGATGACAGAAGCACTCTCAAAGATTGTTACAAATAATTCTACCATAATCTTTCACCAGGATTTGATGCAAGCCACGTTACGAGAGGACATTGAGTTCTAGACAAAAAAAGTGGTAAGTTCATGTATTCCGTTCACTCATTGACAATAATGCAATAAGGATCTCAAAGTACAAAAGTTTCGCTCTTTTCACCCTCCTTGAAAAAAGTATATTGCGGCTTTTGAGCTTAAAAGTTAGTTGCGAAGAGAATCGGCAGCTGTATATGTGTTGTGACAGTGGTACACATTTATGTAACGACGAAAAATATACCCTGTTAAATGCTGCCATCATGTAATCCCGTGCTGTTTCGCACGGATTTAAGGGATTCCGTGAGATGTTGGTGAAATTTCAGCACTTTATTATCTTCATCGTGATATAAATTACGTTTACCAGGTTAAACTTTCTCACTTTTGCCTGTAATTATAAAATTCTTTGCAATCTTATTTCAAATTAAGTTATATCAGATACAATAAACTATATATCATACAAATTATCAGTAAGCTTAATGATAATTAAATCAGAAACATCTCGTGAAATTAAAAGAAAATATCTGCAAATTATGCAAAAATTGCAGAAGATGAATTGATGAATGAATTTCTCAAACTTTGGTTCATAAATATGCGAATGAAAACCAACAATCGACTCTCTTAGTACACAATTTTCCGAGAAAATGATCTCTTTTTCGAATGAAACGAAAATGAAATCTATTTCCTAATGAATAATGTTCTCTGTTATGTTTACGCGTCCCCGAGTCAAGCTTATAAAATTAACAGGAGTCTCTCTCTCTCTCTCTCTCAAACCATTCACATAGTTCCCACAAGCGGTAATCCAACATATACAAATGACACCGGTAAAAACAAGGGAAACGCGTATTTCCGCTCGGCTCTGTCCGCAGCAGGTCGTCCAGTCAGAGCGAATAAGGGGAAAAAAAGAAGGGCGACCATCTGCCGGGTCGTAGTCCGTAAATCCAGCGTCCTTTTTCGCGGTCCGTGCACTATCTCCGGCTGGTAATGGTCCGAATTCCCGGGACGCGGAAACGTGACGCTCGTTTTCGGTCCAGAACGAGGAGAGCCGGGACACGTCGTCGGACCCCTGTTCGCGACCTGTTTCACCTCGTCCGCGCTCGATTTCTTATTTATCCCCGCGAGATTAAGCAGAACTACCCTTACGTGCGTGATCGCCGAGCCGTACAGAAGGGTCGCCTCTAATCGCGTAGCCGTGCGTAGCTCACCATCGGTGAGTCTATTAAAAAAAAAAAGAAGGAGAGAACCTTTCGAGGGGTTCGTTAGAGTTGGACCGAGGGACTTCTAATATGATTTTTTTTTTTATTTTAAATAAAGTCGCTTTGAAGTCGAGCGTATGCGCGAGTTTTATTTGCCAAAGAAACATCGAAGAAACCGTATGTTATATTCGGTGTCATTTCTGTTTAATTGCTTTGTACACATTAATTATGAACGGTTGAAACTTGAGGAAAAATTTGATGACGTAATTAATAATTTAAATTTCAAATAGTTATCTGCTTATTTTGATAACGAAGTATTAATATCGCATCAAAAAATATGTGTTAATAACTCGTGATATTTTAATTCAACATTGATAATTATAAATGATATTTATAATTTTATAAATATGAATTAAATAAAAAGTATATTATAAATTGTGTTATATATTTTTATATTGATATTTGATAATTATAGATTATTTCATATAACTTTATCCCCCTACGCGTTATTAATCAATATCGTGACGTCAATCGTTTTACGTATCGTTATCGTAATATTTTTACGTTATACATTATCGTAATACGTCTAACAATTACGTGACGTAAAGTTTTCATCCCCCTCAACTGTTTTCGTAAACTCACGATATTTTTATGATACCGACACCACGCAGACTAGCTCGTAAACTGACTTTTAAGCGAATCTCGCAATAATTCAGCATTATGCTCATAAATAAGTACTCGAGTAGTATCGATCCGAAGGAGACGGTGTACATATCTTCAAGAGTTGCGCCGTTAATAAGAAAGTATTTTTACTGCAGTTAGGACTATGAAATTTTAAATAAGCAGCGACGGGAGAAGCTCTTCGACGGCGACGCGATGCCGAATTCACGGTGGCTTTTAAGCTTTACAAAGTCGCCAAGTATCTCGATGGATATTCGTGCGTGTGCGAGATCATCAGCGAGGTCTAAGTGCGCTACATTAATGTCGTGGACTCGAAATTTCCCGGACGTCTGTGACGTTTTAATTATTCACGTATCTTTCATGACATTACATCGTTTCTTGAGAATTTTCATCTCACAGTGAATAATATATATCGACATCATATCGCTGTACCGACAAGGAGACGTAAAATCCTCTGCGGAAAAAGAGATTGTAAGTTTGTGAAATATGCTTTCGCGCGTCTAAAATTTGTCAGAATATAACTGCGTGTGGATGTTTACATTTTCGAAAAAAATTTTAGTATTTTTAAGCATCGAGAAATTTTTGAAATTCTCGCTTTAGCTTCTGCACATTTAATAGAATTCTCTGTTTATGTGGCTACAACGAGAATTCAATCATAATTAAAATTTTCGGGCAATCATGTCTCTAAAAATAGAGTTTTTCGGGGAATTAAAAAAGATATTTTTTGAAATTTATAAAGTTATCCTTCTGTTAATTATTAAAATTGATTACAAATTTGTAATCCTTGTGTAAAGGGGATTGCAGATTTTTATTTATATCACAATAATTGAATCTCAATCTGGCAATATTTGTATCGTTTATTTATATCGAGGGGGTAACCACTAGCTAAAATGTTGTCCCACAGATTACAAGATTTCATTTGATTTCATGATTTTATTTGATTTCATGATTTCATCTAATTACAAACGATTTCATCTGATTATAAATGATTTCATCTGATTACAAATGATTTCATCTGATTGCAAATGGATTTTTTTCATTACATATGAAATCATTTCATAAAAGTAATGATTTCATCTGATTACACAATGCATTTTCGTGATTGCACATGTAATCATTTAGGATTTTATGTGACATAAAAT